TCATATTGCGGCTTTGTCAATGTCTTACCTGTTTGCATGTGTCTGTCCTATTAACTCACCTTAATGTCTGTTATTCTAGGGATTAAGCCCTGGGCATCATGATCAATATCGCTCTTCCATTCCTCTTCTTCCCTATTGGCTTCGGTTTTATGGATTAGTAAGTTAGTGAGAATGCTCAGGTTGTCTTCCATTTGCCCTTTTTTCTTTTGTTTTGCATAACATGATATCCTGCTTGTCCCTTAAAATGTTACTTTATTTTGTTTATTTGGTCCCTTTTAAATAATTGTGCGGAGAGATATTTTTGAGCACTCCCCAGATCATTGTAATTGAAATTTGCCTCCATATTATCCAGCACTTTCCCAAAGAATCTGCCCCTCCTTGTGAAAGAAAACAGCTACTTCTGTTTACTCCAATGATTAACCTGGTTAAGCATCCCAAGTGCAAGTAAGGAGACTTCTGTATAGGTGCTCTCAGAACAGGATTTCTCTCTCCATCCGAAAGTGAGCTAATACTAGTGTCTGTGACTGTTTTATTATCATTAAGGTCTAGGCCTGCCCTACCACAACTCTATAGAGAAGTAGCAGAGCAAGACAGCCCAATCGAATCTGTTTCAAGGTTGTTGGTTTTTTCTTCTCTATGTGAAAGTTTTGATCTTTAAGTAAAATTAATACATGGCTGAGATGTTTCAAGTAGAAGAATATGCAAGTTGACCGCACTATGGCTGATGACAATGGGTCCCAGGGAAGAGAAAGGAAGCAGGAATTGTTTTTTGCATTTGAAATCCCCACCCAACACCCAGGCAGCCCATTAGTATGTCATTAAACTCACACTCCTTTCACCTCCTGACTGATGTTTCTCTCCTTCTCTCAACCAGTTAGAACTGAAACCGCAAGGCCGAATGCTAATGAACGCAAGATACTTTCTGGAGATGAGTGGCAAGTGATATTTCTTCTTCCTGTTTGGGGGTGAGGAGGGCATCTCCCTTCTCATTGTATGCAATATCGTAGAAGAGAAGTATTTTTAAAAATGGAACCACAAGGAATTGTCTTAAAATCTACCCTTGGTGCTCAAGGCATGAGTGGAAAATACACTGGGCTTGATATAAAGCACACGTAGCATTTTTTTTTAATTGCATGAATCCATGTGCCCCGTGCTTTTCTGGTTTGCCTTCACTGGAGGTTGGGAACCCGGTGTAACGTTATGTGTAGCTCTGTGTGCACACATTGTAGATAGATGCCTATTGTGAAAGAGCCAAT